AGTTATGTCCCCGTGCAAATAGAACTCAAAGATTTCAAATTTAGCCTATGGCTACCCGCGTATGGCTCCGTGAGGGATCCTGGCGTGAAAATCGCCAACTTGAGAACCAGGAAAGCTGGGAGACTGAAATTTCCAGGGAATGTTCCCAGTATATTTACAACAAAAATTTATTAAATTCAGTTCCAAAGCATGCGTAGTTCCCATGCACGGTTCCGCAAAATTTTCTGGCGGAAAAACGACTAACTCGGGAAATAGGAAAGCTGAAGGCTAAAATTTTAAGGGTATGTCCCCAGCCCACGTAAAAGTTAAAGATATCAATTCAGCTCCAAGATACGTGTTGTTCTCATTTACGGACCCATGAAATTTTTTAGCAGGAAAATTGCTAAATCAAGAACCAGAGAAGTTGGAAAGCTGAAATTTTAGCGGAATGTTCCTTGTCCAAGTACCGCGCAGACAGAACTTCTCGAACTTCGAGGGCCAGTATGTCACAAATCCTAGTTACTAGGTTTCCGCGCGACTTCATTACAACACGAAATACGGCAAAAACGCATGTTCGCACGAGTCAGTCCGGTGATCGTCGCCAGTGATCTGCAGTGGAATTTTGCAGAAAGCCGACAAATGAAAAACTGCCACAAATATGTATAGTGAGTACTAAAAAACGGCAGCAAAAAAGCTGTATGCGTAGTTTTAGAGGCAAATAGCAGAAATGTTTTCTGGTTGCTCCAATTACACAAGCACTCCTGATCCCGGATTTTAGGCGGTCGCATACCAAAGTGAATATAACTTAATGGACCGAAACATTTCTTACTTCTTTTCCACATCTTTCCTTTTTATCTTTTCTATCTCCTTTTTTTACTTTTTCTATCGTCCTTTCTTATATTTTTCAACAGCATTTATACAATTTTCTTTTAACCTTAAATAAGGGACCAAAAAACAGAACAGTGCTAAAAAAGCAGCGTACTATTCGAGCAAAAATCGCTCCTTTTTTGAAAATCAGTTATTTCTGTAGTAGCTGTGGAATGTGATGAAAGCTTGCACAGCATAGTGGATCGAAATCGGAAACAAAAAAAAAGAAGTAGGATAACTTTCAAACACAAAAATACAAAAATAACAAAAGTGATTTATGGTATTTCCCTATTTCATTAGATCAAAAGCTAGATATATAATTGGAGAACCAAAAAAGCGTTTCACAACTTAAGTAATCTCGGTGTAATCACACTGCCAGTATGCGTGCAGTATTCACCCAAGTTATTCCGGTAAAGCATTTTCTCTACGACGAATTCTGAGAGATGGGATGGTCCCCTCGACCGTAAATGGAAATATTTTAAAAATCACAAAAATTCGTTTTTTTTTGGATATCGGTGATTAATGGTGCTGTTGATGCTCATTCACTTTATCCCTGTGGGAGACTTATTAAATAACAATGAAAGTTTGAAGTTTGAAATAAAGTTCCTCAAATTTTTTCTGAATTTTCAAAACAATCGTTTTATAGATCTGTTAGAAGACATCGCCCTGGAGTTGGTTTGTTTGTTGTTGGTGGTTTTTGCTGGCTTCCACTTGCAGGTGGTTTCTCTTTTTGCGCATCTTTGGCTGGGAACAATGCAATGTTTCGAAGAAAAAGTTCCAAATGTGTCAGCGCATTTCGTGCTGCCCAATTTTTGGCGTCTTTTTCGGTGCGACCAAATCCACAGAAGGAATTTTTGATTTCATTCGGACCACGTAACGTCAGAATACACTGCTGGTCGCCTGCAAAAAAACAGAAAGAAATCGGCAAATTTTAATCAAATTTACTTTTAGAAAAAGTAATTAGTTGCAATAAATTTCCGGAAAACGCATCGTACTTCTAATTTATGTCTCAAAGATGTCACATTATATATCAAATAATGATTGATGGTTTTTTTCTTTTTTGGAAATAGGTTAAATAACATTTGCATTACTATGATGCACTAGCCCAGTCCCTGGTTCAAACTTTGGACACCCTACCCTCGTTAAAGTTTTGCTATCTTAGTAATCTCTGACGTTTGGGGTATAAAAGCACTCCTTCCCATCGCCGGGATCGCCACAACTCGTCCAACACTTTAGCTCCCCAGAACCTCATCGTCTTTTTTTTATTATTTTTCAATATATTGCCTATATATAAATATGTATATACTGTTAGGCCCGTCACGCGACCCTTGACTGTAGCAGCGATGGACGGAGGAGAAACACCAGTTTATTCTTCTAATAAAACACTTCACTCCAGACGTCGATGACGCGTAAACAATGAGCCGGGGCACCGCATAAGCTGTGCAACAGAATAACAACGGCAGACGGGGAGGCGAGACGCTTGAGGCGTTGGACGGTAGAACGGCGCCGTAGATGGACGTTTGGTCGAAAATTAACAAACTGATTCTGACTGTGGATCTAGGAAGGGTTTATATAGGGAGAATTAGTGGAGGGAAAAGGAGGGCAAGTTAGTTAATGAGTAGGAAAGTAGATAATATAGAAACATTTAGAATTTGGTGGAACTGTTAGAAGTTAGTAAGGCGGGGGGAAGTGGGTCGAAATATCAGGAATTAGTGAAAGGAGGGAAAATGGGTAATTATAGGATTACATATACGACTAGGCGTCAAATACACACACAATGCATACCACTAGTCTAAAATATTAACTTTTAGGGTCGCGAAAGAAAATAAAAATGAAAATAGGGGAAAACTCTGGCTGTCAGGTAGCACTAATTTGGCACAACAACAGGGGGATTTTCTGATGTTATTTTTGGAATCTTACTCCTTAATTTTCATAAACAGGGGAAAAAAACAAACAAACAAACCGTCTAAGTCCATCGAGAAGATGGTATATTCGAGTGTTTGTGGCACGAAAAGTTTACTTATATTTTCATCGCCCGAATTTATCAGTTCCAACAGCTTAACTTCAAAACCATCTATACCAAAACTGGACCGTAAAGCGGCTCGAACTTTCTTCACACATTCCGGGGAATCCTCCTCTTCAGGCGTTGACAGATCCACGAGTATCTGCGCGAAAAAAAAGCAATTAAGCATATCACACACAAGCAGGAAAAGATTAAAGTAGCAATAATAGGTCAGAAAATCATGGATAAGCCCATCACAGTCGATATTTTTGGTTATCTTGTGCCGCGTGACCTAAAAAGGCCAAATTTTAAGCCATGGCGGTCATAGGCGGATCCAGGGTGGTTTTCTGGGGGAAGCAGGAAGGAGGGAGGGTGAGGGCGACAGGGAGTTCCACGTAGACTTTTCTACAGCAAAATACCTGCTACCTAAGCCCCTGGAGGGAGGGAGGAGGCGACAGAGGGTTCCAATTAGACTCTTCTACAGTAAATACCTGCTACCT